CTGGAGTATCGATTTAGCTTTGCTTTCTGCTCGAAGAACCACTTCCAGTGGTCGTGGAGAACTATCTTGTTGGGGTTTTCCAAGCCTGAATGCCGCTTTTACTCTGATCAATGCCGTTGGTTTCACCTCGTCGCCATCGAACAAGATAACGATGTGCAACCTCAGCAGCTGCAGGTCGTGGTCCAGGCGAGCCTGGATAGTGGTGGCCTCAGCCTCCGGAAGATTGATAAAAATAAAGCACCGAGAACTTTTGGCAGTGGAGATTCATCCTCCTTGGAAGGAATGACCGAGCATCTGCAGCACACGATCTTCCGGAATGGAGAGAGGCATTTCTCTAGCCACTCGTATTTGTCTGCGTCGATTTGGGTGCATTTGAGGTGCAGGCACCCATCACAACCATCACATCGGAGCCCTTTGGCCCTGAGGCCAACACTCCTGGAGCAGGATACACATATGTTCTTGGAAGCCTCGCTTTTTTGAGACATTTCCGATGGAATAGATCCCGTTAAATGCACGAAAAGCACAACAGAATAATCCAGTTTAGCATACGGTGCAAAACCGGTATGCCAGAGTCAAGGTCAGGCGCGAGGGTTTTCGATACTTGTGGTGACACGTAGTCACGGCTCCTATTATAACTCTTTTAAAAATGCGCGAGCATTCCTCTGGCCGGGGCCACACAGTGCACGCATATCTGTTTTAGTTCTCCATGTTGATGATGCAGCACATAGCACTCCTTCGATATACTGGAACAGTTTTTGTGGTACCATAAACTAGATCACTCACATTGCATGTCAATGTTTGCTTATCTATCACATCCACTGACCTCGCACCTGTCAGGATACTGTACCATAACTGCTTTATCAACAACGACGTGAGTGCAAACGAGATACTAGTAAAGCAGTCTGAAACAATGAAGCTCAAATTGAAATAATGCTGGATGGGGAAATACTCAACAAGACAACTCAAATCCCCTTTATAACGAACTGGAAATTTTCCAAAAAGTAAATTTGGCCGATCTTTAGTTTTGGTAGTATGATGGAACGATCTGGAACAAGCCGATTCGCAAGTGTGAAATATTTACTGATATCTCAAGCTTCAGACATGTAGACTTATTGAGGTCTCAAAACAAAAGAAATACTAAAGCTGAATGTTTTACCATAAGTAGTATGAATTACTGATTGATATTTCAAGAGTAATTGAACTAAGATGATTTCAATCACGAGCACCTTGAAAATCCAAATCACGCGCTAACGTGCTGCTGTTCGGTTATCTAGCCATCAGTTCAGCAGAAAAACAGATAAGCATATCACATAATCGGGAATAATTATGCCCTGTAACCTAGTTCTCGTACTGGAGCTGTAGTTTATGACAACAGTTTGTTTACCCAAGATTGGGCCATATTCAATTTTTTCGTTTCACAACAAATGCTAGAAGGTGGCGACACCAACCATGTGGCTGCTTCATCTCATTTGTTCAGTCACTTTTTACAAGTAACGGAATTTTCTACTTCCCCCCAAATCTGCTTTTATCTCTAATAATTCAAACTACAAAATTTCTTTATCATTTGAGGATCAGATTCTATGAGCATTTTGACCGGTAGATCAGTCAGTGTACCACAGAGCGAGTAAACAATCCCAAGTTTCCTTGCCCTCGGTACCAACTGAGAGAGGTATCCCTTGGGTTTGGAGTCCAGGAACTTAACAACATCCAAAATCCTATATTCCAACGGGTTCTATCATTCTCATCGACGAGCAGTAGCGCATTATCGAACTGCGTATACGCGCCAGCTGGTGGAGAAAACGGAAGGAACACAACAGTGATTTGTGGGATCAATAGGCATAGAAATTGATCCGGCTAAATAAAGCAAAATCCGATGACGGATAATAAAAACAAACGAGAGACAGATGAGAAAAGGGGAACAAAAACAAAAAAACGGGAACCACTGTTACAGATGTACGGAGAACACTGGTCAATAGACAGTGCAATCACAAGATCATTGATACTTTCTTTGACTGGGTATTATTGAATACAGGTTGATTGGAAGCGCGAATGAGTTTCACTTGAATTTATTATGCATTCAACTTGTTGCTTGTTTGCATTCTATTTTCTGCAATAACAAAGGAAAGGAAAACAAGAGAAAGAATGAACGAATAAGGAAACTGACAAAATATGCCCCCAAGTAACACGAACATGGGCACGAAATTGAATCGTTTATATTATATTTCATAAGCGATTGGGTCAGGACTGTGAGCTGAATAAAAATCTAGGCGGACGTTTATAATGTATGCCCCCAAGCGATTTATGCATTTTCAAATCAGCTACTTATAAGTAGTACATAAAAATGACTCAAACTGCCTAATGAAAAATACAATGATGCTATTTATAATAATAATACTAAAAATAATGGTAACAACAATGTGCAACGTAAAAAAGTGATTAATAAAAAATTTAAAAATTACAAGTTAACAGGGATAAATCTGTTCAATATGTGCCAGGAAAGTTGAAATATCTACTGGAAGTATCCCAGATGAAAAATAGAACCCTAATCGGCATTGGACCTTATCAAGATGGTCCTAAATCAGATCACCTACGGAACCATCAAGGTATCAAGAGGCAAGTTTGAATTTGCGAAAAATGTTCTTGAGCGAATGGAGGTATGTATCTTGCACTTGCAGCAACGTAAAATGCAGCCATCCGTGCTCCGGCTGTACTCCTGCACAGACAACTTTTCCTTTGGTAGTAGTCCTCGATCCTGAAGATATTCAACACATGTCGTAATGGTGTCGCGGTCAAAAATTAAAACAAAAACAACCTAAGTCAACTTTTCGCTTAGCATCCAGGAAACCTTAATATGAGTTACTATGACAGAAAAAATTTAAACACATCGCAAATTATGGAATTTGGCTTTGAGTGGCAATAAGGGAGGGGCATAAATTGTCAATGTCCGCCAAAATGCAGCCTTATAACAAATAAACGAGACCATGATCATATTTAGGCGGAATACTGCCAGGTTGTCCAAGCATAAACGGGTGAATCATAGCGTTTTTAAAAACCATTTACTCATGAGTAGCTGGTCATTGTTTCCGGTTTGAGGTACACTCAAAGCACAAGATACGGGAACGGATGTAGACTCATCCGAACTTAATCTCAACAAAGACTTTTACTGTCTTTTTTTGATGAGATTATAACTCAACTGGACTCTTACATCTCACAACAACCACAGTGTTTTTTGTGACACGTGTCAACATGTAGAGTGATAAGTCGCCCAATGGTGAAGTGATGCTCCAACTGTGATGGTGGGAATGCAATGATCAAGATATATAATGCAGCGTAATAAGCGCACTTATCCGCAGAAAGATCGGGTTCGAATTTCCGCACCAGCTCCGCTGTTACCTCAAGAGAGTCTCCCACTCAATCCGACTATCTTCATGTCCAGTAATCAAACATTTACAGTTTAGAAAATTATAAAGGAAAAACCTCAATCCCATCATTCAGCGTACCTGCTAGCTGAAAAACAGAGGCAACGGCATCTTTGGCTAACTTCGCTTGCATGGAAATCAGGTGCACATTTTGATTGATTCGATCGCCATCTCGTGATGGTGTAGATGTGGGATTCGGGGGAGAATCTCGGTGATCGTAACTATCAATGAGTCTGAAACAGTTCAAGACAGAGAAACGGAACAGCACGGATAGGGCAGCAGATAAAGCAATTGTGGGCGGGTGGACGGACGGGGAAAGAGATGAGGAAAACAGAGACAAGTAAGTGATTGTGCAAAATTGCATAGGGTATGGTGAAACGCGTAAGTGATACACCAAAGTCAATTCTCTGGGATCAACAACGGATACACTCGATCATGAGAATTGGAAACCCGCACCAAAATAGATTATTGTGAAATTCACGTGAGCGCGCGCGCGACGTGCTCAGTCCACGGTGAGTAAGTTAAACGAGGCGCGAAAGTCCGAATCGAATGAGAGATTGATTATACCAGCACATGTGTCAGGAGTAAGATTTAGCCACAGTTTCTTACTGTTCTGTTTTTGGTAAACTTACATGGGTCCTCACGAATGACTTTGCAATTAACGATGGGGTTAGAAGAAAGGAAAGAATGTGTGCAATTTTAGAGAATACAAAACTATCACGAAGTGAAAAAATGAAGACAGGTATGTATGATCTCTTTCACTGTCTGGGGTGACGGAGAGTAGCATTTCTACATGGAAAACTGCCGTGGTCACCTTGGGATAATCACCAGTTTTCGGTCCTCATCTGACCCGCAAATCTCACCTGTGAATTCGATAAGCTGGTTCTCAATGTACAGTGGCCACTCTCGTCTAACGCACTTAATAGACGGGTTAAACCATGTTGATGGAAGATGAGAACTATAGAAACGGTTCGATGTAACACTAATATACTGACTAGTCAAATGCATTAGACCGGAGAAAAACTGAAGATGCAACCTAAAAAAACGCCACATGATGTTGGAAGCACCAATTTATCTGGCATTCCCGGGTTTCCCCCAAGGCTGTCTGGAGAACCGCTTAGAACATGAGCAACAACGATGAAATTGTACGTGGAAATCCTAGGTCTGAACTAAGTCTACGGAGTCCGGTCATGAAACTACGATTGGATCAACAACTGCTCCGACCTCGCTTTTTAAGGCTACGCACCAAAGGCTGTCATTTGAGGTATTGAGGAAGCCACTCAATATGACGACAAGTGACATTCGTTACAATGTAAAATTGAGTAATGTCTTGTAACAAATAGCTTTACATTGAGACTGTTACTCAATTCATGTAAACGGAGAATTGATGGGGATAAAACAGAATTAACAGTTCAAGGAATAAAATGATTTGGACCTTTATATGGGCTACATCCAGTTCGAATGAGCTTAACTTACCTTTGACGTAATAACACCTCACGAATGGCATTTAAACGCATCTCTTTGCTCTGACGAAGCAGCATATCAGTTGGTTCACCTTGAGGTGGTGATGGAACATACCGTTCTTGTATTTTCATTGGTTCAGGCGGCGAGAACTGATTGATGTCGGACGGAAAAAGGACCGAAGGATGGGCGTTGGGTGGGTGGGATGAGAAAAGAAAGTGCAATGAATAAAAATGTGGCTGCTTGCTCATTGTTTCATTTTAAAGATGGAGTCGCTCTCTCACGACCTGTGAAAGCTCTCCGGTCTCTAATCTCCCGTGTTTCCCGATATCCCGGTAGGTATCAGAAAGAACAACCACTTAGTCAGGGAAAATATATTGTTCCATTAAAGGTACCGGAAGTTTAGCCTGAGTACGCTCGACAGTGTCTGAAAGCGATGAGCAAGCGAAGGTGTAGAACTGAACTCACGCACCGTTTAAAGTGAAGTTACTTCACCAGAGGCGGCAATGACTTAAACAAAACTGAAAGGCCTAGCTTCAGAAGCGATCTCAGAATATCGACGATCCTGGCGGAATCTATGCTACGAAGGAGAAGTATGCACGAGCGAGATACTCCAAGCAACCAACACCTGCAACCATGCAGAACAGGCAGACCAAAGATGGTGACAACTCTCGAGCATGATACACTGTCGATCTGAAACCACTAGACCATCATCAAGATTAATGATATGATCACTTACCATGCTTTCGATTGATTCTGCAGCTAGAAGATAACCTTGAGTAGTTCGACGAACCCTTGGTTTCTGTTTGAATGCAAAATGAAGAATCGGCATTAAGTTTGAGAAGGAAATACACGAAAAATAAATAATGGATGAAATGATATACAGTTGATTTATCATGAATCTTGCATTTGAAAGTTCACTGAACGGGTACCGGAGATTCTTATGCACAAGAACTACCTGAAATCGGCTCGGGAGGAGCGGGTGGGTGGATGAGCAAACCACGAAAGCGTGATGGGGCACGTGTCTGATGTCGTGCATCTACCGATCAAGCAGACATCGGCTCGTACATGTGACGAACATAAGGAAAAGGTTAGGCAACTAATCCAAAGGTTCTGGGGGGCTGTCACAAAAGACAATCTCATTATTTGGTGATAGATGAAAGACGAATTTTCAGAGTAAAGGATTATCGTGAACTTGAAGAACCATGTCTGTTTTCAAGACACTAAGTAATGGCCTAAGGAATATCCGTTTTTATGAGGTTGAGTAAGTTTTCGTCCTTGTCCAACTAAGTGCTTCTTGTACGGCAGCTAATAGAGAAGTCCTATTCTATTTCGCCTGTTCGCCGAGCTTGGAAATTTGTTTGCAAACGTTTCATCACCGGCCGAGGTGACAACATNCAATTACTTGGATGAATTTCGCATACGCAAATATTGCCTAATGCGTCTTGTATACTTCCCGAAAATTCGATCGTGCTTTCCGCACACATAATGGTTGCCGAATTCGGCAAACAGGTCATCAATCAATAAACAGAAAATGCATCGTCAGAAATATCACTGGATAAGGAGGCATGAAGTGAAAATTTGACCAACAACGGCTACTCACAACGGGTTGCTCAAATTCGTCATGAATATTCTGTCGTTCAGCTACGGGGGAACGCCACTGATCTGGGGATTTATGGTCGGACGGGAAATCGCCGTCTCTACGTAAATTCATTTGCAACAACTCGGGTGTGTGGACCGATCTGTCTCCGTTTACCAGTGGTTTTCCAGACGCCGGTGGAGATTCCATTTTTAGCCATTCATCAATACTGTGGCTAAAGGGTTTCACGGGACTGGTCAATTCACGACCGGGCTCTTTCGTGGTCGATTCCGTATCAATGGAGCTCGGACTGCCTGGGCCTCGACTGGAAATTCCGGACTCCCATGGGTTTCGATTCAACAGTTGAATCGTATGAGAACCGTCATACGGTGATTGCTAGAAAAAAAGGGTCCAATAATTGGAACATATTCCCACTGGGTGACAATCCAATTATTTCACAATCCCACTAAACCCAAATAAAAATAGTAAATAAACGTAAAGGAGACATCTGAATTTTCTTAATCTTGAACTGCGTAACGTTGATTCAACGTTTGGAGAGGGCGGAAGGCTATTCCAAACCACATTCCGGCTGTAACGAAGTTCCGTGAAGGCTTTTGCGCGTAATGCAATTCATAGGCATAACATACAAGAAATAATTCAATATTATTTTTAATGGCAAACAGGGAGATAAACCGAACAGTGATAATGCTCTTCGGGGTTCCCTGACACCGTCAAGCGGTGCAGTGACCATCGACGAAAATGAGTGAGATGGCCGCCAAGCGTAGATCGTGACAAACTGAAAAAGGATGTGAGAAAATATGCAACACAAGAAGGAATATTATCACGTACTCTCATCGGCAGTAAATACCAGCGGCGTTTGCTGATTGACTGACTGAGCGAAATGAAAAGTTCCACACAGTCACTATCTTCCTGGTCCACATCGTTCAGTGGAATATAGAGGCTTTTGAAGGCTCCCACTGGAAGCCAATTCTGACACAGCCCCTCAACACTCACCGGCATTAATAAATAATGTGGTTGTTTGTGAGCAGTTTTCTCGGTTATTATTTGTTGCAAGGCTGCTAGATGTTTGCCATGAAAGGAGTTATTCTTGCCTTACAAATCTTCCTTACATTATGTCTGTTTAAGATTGAATCTTTTCGAATTATTGATTTTTTAATAGTTGTTATGATTTCATCAGCAAGCGCAATCCTTATTACATCCATTTAACCGTGTACTCATTTTGAATGGATGATTTGTTGATAGTGCCATAAATATGACGTCTGAATGGTGGTTAGTTGAATCTGACCCAATTGTCCCATATCACCACCACCACCATCACCACCATCGACAACAACAATACATGCTTGCAAGTGGACTAAATGCGAGTTACTCATATTGCCGTTCAACACAGAACAGAAGAATCACATCACATTCGTCGAGAATAATCAGTTACGTNCGTATTTTAAACAAACTCAGTTCAATGGTCCTAATCTGCCGGTATCGATGTTCGCTCCACGGAAGAAGATTATCTTGCTTATTGCCAGACTATTCTTCGTCAGGGATCGTAAACTTCCGGAAGTGTTGAAAAGCACTTGATTTAGAATATTCCTTTATAAGAAGTATCAAAACCATTTGGCGCATACAAAACAAGTAAGAGTTGAATTATGCATGAGACTGAGGGCTTATCTATCAACAAAGCCAGAGACAGCGCTGTGGCGGACCAGATTATGTGCACTGAATGTAAATGAAACCGGGCCACCCCAAAACGTTGACAGCCTCCATATGGTCACGTGATCGGTACCAAGGATGGATGAGTACACCCGAATTGCACGCATCAAGCTACTGTTGCATTTTTTGGTCACCCGGGGCCGTAAACAAACACACGCGTGCGCACAAGAGAGAAAAGTAACAAAAACAACATGAAATTCGCATAAAACAAGGGAAAAAGCACTGTTCTGCAAGCCGATTGGTAAGCGATCCCGAAAGGGGACTCTTTTGCACCGTAGACGAGAAATCAGTAGAAAATAACACATTAGTTAGGCCAAGTAAAAAAATGGGTTTTCACAACCGATTGTCCTTATCCAGCCGTAACCTAACGAACGCATAATCATTTATTACAATTACACATTCAGAGTGAAATTGGTGCTACGGAAAAGCCCTTGAACGCTTTTGTACACACAGGTAAGGGTTATGTGCATGGTGCTAACACAAAAGGTAGAAATACAGTTACATAAGGTTGAGTGTTTAGAATGATAAGGGTCGGAAAGTGTCCGATAAAAAATCTTTAGAATACTAAGAGGTCATCTGGTGGATAATTTTAGCCCCATGACATACCAAAACAAATGGATACACATTTGAATGAAATTATTTTGTACCAGATCAAGAAAGTTCACTAGAGAGGTATAAATCCCCTGTGGGGGAATATAAGCATGTAAGAATCGTTCGACTAAATCTAACGAGATTGGTAGAACCTTTGCGCGGGGAGGGGGGTATGACAAGAAAGGAATAC